AACCCTGACTTCTCCAGCAGAGGCAAAGGAAAAATTCTACGATGACCTCAGCAGAGTCATAGCAAGAATCCCTGTATAAGAGCCACTGTTCATCCTCGGCGACTTCAACGCCAGAGTGGGTGCCAAGCACAACATTTGTCCCACTTGTCTGGGTCAATTCGCCATAGGGAGGATGAATGAGAACGGGCAACGTCTGCTAGAACTCTGCTGCCTTCATGGTCTTTGTGTCACCAACACGTTTTACACGTTGTAACACCACTATAATTGTAACACTACTATAATGGATACTAAACTAATAATGTAAACACTACTTATCCTGAGTAACACTTCCTATTGGTGCACTTGGTAACACTGTTATCCAGCACTGTAATATGAGCTGACATATGATGGTTACACCGGAACCAAAGGTACACTGCAAAACGAGGAAATGCTACACAGGATTAATACGCTGCCACCATCTGCCTTGACCATTGAGACTACATCACGCAACGAGGCAAGAAACATTGCTTGACTTGGAGAGTACTTTCTATAACTGTCATTAATTATGGGACGGTTATCAGCCACTATATCCAAAAGGCTAAAAGAATTCAACAATTGATACAGACGGGAAATTTAACATGAGTTTATTGAGACCAAAATTATACTAATTACCACCTATAAATCCTACTCTAACACTGGCCAATAGTTAAGAAATTTAGACATGGAACAAAACCTCAGAGATCACACACATTACCTTAAGACCTCTGTCTCTCCATCCGGTGGGTTCACTTTGTCACTCCCCCTGTGAGATGTTCTTCACAGACCCTCTCTCGACCCCAGTGTCCCGCACTCTGTCCCTAAGTCTCTACAGGACCAATATATATACATCTCGAAAAAGGGAGAGGGAAGATTTACTGTTGCTACCTTCACCAAGAATGCAAGAGGGTCGGGCCACAAGTGCACAAACACTTAAGAATTTTCATTAAACTTGTTTGACATTCACCATACACTGTTCAAGAGAGGAATTATTAATTACGTGTGTGACTGACCTTTGACCTGGATAAAAGGGGGAGATCCATGGAAGTTTACACATAAGAATCTGGGGTCTAATTCCATTGCAATGTTTGACAAGAGTATCATGAAATGTTACATACTTGAAACTAGCTGACTAAGACTAACCCAGGAATTTTTTAATCAACATACAAGATAATCCGGAGGTCATCTGGGCTGACCTCTTGGAGAAGGCTTCCCTGGGTGTGAACTCCTGGGGAGGGGGGGGGGGGTCATGCGTGTTACAGCTCCCTTTCCCCCAGAGTTAAGACAAAATCGGGTGTATCTTGAGGTTATCTTGAGATGATTTCGGGGCTTTTAGTGTCCCCGCGGCCCGGTCCTCGACCAGGCCTCCACCCCCAGGAAGCAGCCCGTGACAGCTGACTAACACCCAGGTACCTATTTTACTGCTAGGTAACAGGGGCATAGGGTGAAAGAAACTCTGCCCATTGTTTCTCGCCGGCGCCTGGAATTGAACCTAGGACCACAGGATCACAAGTCCCGCGTGCTGTCCGCTCGGCCGACCGGCTCCCTAATTAAGATAGATAATTAAGCCCAAATTTGTCTTATCCTAACTTATCCAAAATACCATAACTAAATCTTAAAAGAAAAAAATAGCCAGTGACATATTAATAAAAGTAAACTAACTAAATTAACATGATGCAAAGTACATTATACAGTTACACCTCAGTAAGAACAACACATAAATGTACAATGAAAGAAACAAAGGTACAAAAAAAATCTTGGCAAAAGTACAAGCAATGATACCGTCACACATGATACAATTCCGAATATCATAATATGACAATAAAGTATATTAATGAAAAAAAAACAAATCCCGACTGCACCAAGGCAGTCCAGCAAGGCTCCCTCAGAAGGCTGGAAGGCCCGAGGCAGTCCAGCAAGGCTCCCTCAGAAGGCTGGAAGGCCCACACCCGAGGCAGTCCAGCAAGGCTCCCTCAGAAGGCTGGAAGGCCCGAGGCAGTCCAGCAAGGCTCCCTCAGAAGGCTGGAAGGCCCGAGGCAGTCCAGCAAGGCTCCCTCAGAAGGCTGGAAGGCCCGAGGCAGTCCAGCAAGGCTCCCTCAGAAGGCTGGAAGGCCCGAGGCAGTCCAGCAAGGCTCCCTCAGAAGGCTGGAAGGCCCGAGGCAGTCCAGCAAGGCTCCCTCAGAAGGCTGGAAGGCCCGAGGCAGTCCAGCAAGGCTCCCTCAGAAGGCTGGAAGGCCCGAGGCAGTCCAGCAAGGCTCCCTCAGAAGGCTGGAAGGCCCGAGGCAGTCCAGCAAGGCTCCCTCAGAAGGCTGGAAGGCCCACACCCGAGGCAGTCCAGCAAGGCTCCCTCAGAAGGCTGGAAGGCCCGAGGCAGTCCAGCAAGGCTCCCTCAGAAGGCTGGAAGGCCCGAGGCAGTCCAGCAAGGCTCCCTCAGAAGGCTGGAAGGCCCGAGGCAGTCCAGCAAGGCTCCCTCAGAAGGCTGGAAGGCCCGAGGCAGTCCAGCAAGGCTCCCTCAGAAGGCTGGAAGGCCCACACCCGAGGCAGTCCAGCAAGGCTCCCTCAGAAGGCTGGAAGGCCCGAGGCAGTCCAGCAAGGCTCCCTCAGAAGGCTGGAAGGCCCGAGGCAGTCCAAACAAGGCTCCCTCAGAAGGCTGGAAGGCCCGAGGCAGTCCAGCAAGGCTCCCTCAGAAGGCTGGAAGGCCCGAGGCAGTCCAGCAAGGCTCCCTCAGAAGGCTGGAAGGCCCACACCCGAGGCAGTCCAGCAAGGCTCCCTCAGAAGGCTGGAAGGCCCGAGGCAGTCCAGCAAGGCTCCCTCAGAAGGCTGGAAGGCCCGAGGCAGTCCAGCAAGGCTCCCTCAGAAGGCTGGAAGGCCCACTCCCGAGGCAGTCCAGCAAGGCTCCCTCAGAAGGCTGGAAGGCCCGAGGCAGTCCAGCAAGGCTCCCTCAGTAGGCTGGAAGGCCCGAGGCAGTCCAGCAAGGCTCCCTCAGATGGCTGGAAGGCCCGAGGCAGTCCAGCAAGGCTCCCTCAGAAGGCCGGAAGGCCCGAGGCAGTCCAGCAAGGCTCCCTCAGAAGGCTGGAAGGCCCGAGGCAGTCCAGCAAGGCTCCCTCAGAAGGCTGGAAGGCCCGAGGCAGTCCAGCAAGGCTCCCTCAGAAGGCTGGAAGGCCCGAGGCAGTCCAGCAAGGCTCCCTCAGAAGGCTGGAAGGCCCGAGGCAGTCCAGCAAGGCTCCCTCAGAAGGCTGGAAGGCCCGAGGCAGTCCAGCAAGGCTCCCTCAGAAGGCTGGAAGGCCCACACCCGAGGCAGTCCAGCAAGGCTCCCTCAGAAGGCTGGAAGGCCCGAGGCAGTCCAGCAAGGCTCCCTCAGAAGGCTGGAAGGCCCGAGGCAGTCCAGCAAGGCTCCCTCAGAAGGCTGGAAGGCCCGAGGCAGTCCAGCAAGGCTCCCTCAGAAGGCTGGAAGGCCCACACCCGAGGCAGTCCAGCAAGGCTCCCTCAGAAGGCTGGAAGGCCCGAGGCAGTCCAGCAAGGCTCCCTCAGAAGGCTGGAAGGCCCGAGGCAGTCCAGCAAGGCTCCCTCAGAAGGCTGGAAGGCCCGAGGCAGTCCAGCAAGGCTCCCTCAGAAGGCTGGAAGGCCCGAGGCAGTCCAGCAAGGCTCCCTCAGAAGGCTGGAAGGCCCGAGGCAGTCCAGCAAGGCTCCCTCAGAAGGCTGGAAGGCCCGAGGCAGTCCAGCAAGGCTCCCTCAGAAGGCTGGAAGGCCCACACCCGAGGCAGTCCAGCAAGGCTCCCTCAGAAGGCTGGAAGGCCCGAGGCAGTCCAGCAAGGCTCCCTCAGAAGGCCGGAAGGCCAAAACAAAAATCGCCTTAAAACTGGCATGACATAAAAAAAAAAATCCTAATGGAAGAGGAAAATTACAAGTAACTAAAAATAATATAATGTCAAAATACAAGTAATGACACAATCCTACATAATACAACCCTGAGGTACAATACATGACACTACAGAATACTATGAAACAATGACATAACCTGCCTGCACACTAGGCAGCCTAGCAAGTCTTCCTCAGAAGGTCTGAAGAACAAAACATACAAAATAAAGTGACCCCCAACATGAAAAAAAAGAATATATATATAATATTCCTACTTTAACATTTAAATCTAAGTAATTAAAAATAACAGGTAACATTACCCAAGTGGGACATACCCCAAACATCTGCTGGGTACCTCATGACCCACAGCCAAACCAATGAGTTATACAAGTTATAAATCATGGCAAAAATACAACAATAATTAACATGATCACTCTGCAACAGAACCGTACGTTAACAGAATACTTGTGGGACAATCCATATACCGCACAAGACAATAGTGCCAGGGTCAATCTCCATGCACCCTGCACATACTGATAGTAAGACTACTTCTTACCCCAAAAGAATCATTAATTAACATTACAACATTTCATTGAAACATAAAGGCAAGCAAATATTAAAAAATTATGTACCCATACACTGGTACCAAACAGGGAAACCTGGACACTCATCACCAGGACAGACTTATTACATAGACACATACATAAAATAAAATAATAATAAATTTCAAGAAAAAGTTTGTGCTAGAGACCCAAGTCACGAACCGTACCGAACCGAATCAAACCCAAGACCCAAACCTAGACTAGCCTAGCTTATTCTAGCCAAAATACCCCGCTAACTGTCGCACAAAAACGCGTCCCCTTAAGCCCCGAGACCATTTACCACACAATGGCCAGATAAGAGAGGAGGGACCATTTTCTTGTCACGGGTCCAAGAAAGGAGAATTAATGGCTCTCTGCAAAGAATAATGATTTTAATTACTCTTTTGGCACGGCGAGAGGCGACTGGGAGGGTGATTGGCGCGTCCCGTGATGGATTGAGCGACCACACCGCTCTAATGGCGCTCAGGTATAGTGGAGGGTCACAGTACGGTGCGCTAAGGTCGCTGGCAACGACGGTGACAACAGAGTCCAGGGTTACAACACCAACGGTGACAACAGTGGCAAGGGTTACAACATCAACGGTGACAACAGTGGCCAGGGTTACAACATCAACGATGACAACAGTGGCCAGGGTTACAACATCAACGGTAACAACAGTGACCAGGGTTACAACATCAACGATGACAACAGTGGCCAGGGTTACAACATCAACGGTGACAACAGAGGCGATGGTTACAACATCAACGGTGACAACAGTGGCCAGGGTTACAACATCAACGGTGACAACAGTGGCGATGGTTACAACATCAACGGTGACAACAGAGGCCAGGGTTACAACATCAACAGTGACAACAGTGACCAGGGTTACATCAACGGTGACAACAGTGGCCAGGTTTACAACATCACCGGTAACAACAGAGGCCAGGGTTACAACATCAACAGTGACAACAGAGGACAGGGTTACAACATCAACGGTGACAACAGAGGCCAGGGTTACAACATCAACAGTGACAACAGAGGACAGGGTTACAACATCAACGGTGACAACAGAGGCCAGGGTTACAACATCAACGGTGACAACAGAGGCCAGGGTTACAACATCAACAGTGACAACAGAGGACAGGGTTACAACATCAACGGTGACAACAGAGGCCAGGGTTACAACATCAACGGTGACAACAGAGACCAGGGTTACAACATCAACGGTGACAACAGGCCAGGGTTACAACATCAACGGTGACAACAGAGGTTGAGGTAACTACATCAATTGTGACAGCATAAGTTCAGGTAAAATCCTCCGTCAATGTTTCAATGTTAGTTAACGGGATAATATATACCTTCTCTCTCTCTCTCTCTCTCTCTCTCTCTCTCTCTCTCTCTCTCTCTCTCTCTCTCTCTATATATATATATATATATATATATATATATATATACATATATATATATATATATATATATATATATGTGTGTGTGTGTGTGTGTGTGTGTGTGTGTATATCACGAAAATAAACACGTGATTAATAAACACTCCGTGGTCTGACATTGTCATATATATATATATATATATATATATATATATATATATATATATATATATATATATATATATATATATATATATATATATGTCGTACCTAGTAGCCAGAACGCACTTCTCAGCTTAATATGCAAGGCCCAATTTGCCTAATAAGCCAAGTTTTCATGAATTAATGGTTTTCCGACTACCTAACCTAACCTAACCTAACCTAACTTTTTCGGCTACCTAACCTAACCTAACCTATAGAGATAGGTTAGGTTAGGTTAGGTAGGGTTGGTTAGGTTCGGTCATATATCTATGTTAATTTTAACTCCAATAAAAAAAATTGACCTCATACATAATGAAATGGGTAGCTTTATCATTTCATAAGAAAAAAATAGAGAAAATATATTAATTCAGTAAAACTTGGCTAATTAGGCAAATCAGGCCTTGCATAGTAGGCTGAGAAGTGCGTTCTGGCTACTAGGTACGACATACATATATATATATATATATATATATATATATATATATATATATATATATATATATATATATATATATATATATATATATTATTAAATATGACCGAAAAAGTAAGATTAATAATTCTAACACGAATTTTCTCAATCTTACGTACATTTCTTTTCACTGTTGGAGGTAAATCAAAAATCAATTCTCCAAAATTCATTTTTATTTCTAGTCTGACGCGACACGAGCGCGTTTCGTAAAACTTATTACATTTTCAAAGACTTTAGTTTACAAATACACAACTGAATAGAACTTACGCATCTCCGATTTTGTTTTTATATCTACATTTGAGAGAGGTGGATGGGGTGAGGTGGCATTAATAGGGTATTAATTTCATCAACACAAGACAGAACAAGAGGTGGCATTAATAGGGTATTAATTTCATCAACACAAGACAGAACACGAAACAATGGGTACTGAATAGAAGTGATTGTAGAAAGCCTATTGGTCCATATTTCTTGATGCTTCTATATTGGAGCGGAGTCTTGAGGTGGGTAGAATATAGTTGTGCATTAATTGGCTGTTGATTGCTCGTGTTGACTTCTTGATGTCAACACCAGCAATCACGATATATATATATATATATATATATATATATATATATATATATATATATATATATATATATATATATATATATATATATATATATATATATATACATATATTTATACATCAAGAAGTCAACACCAGCAATCAACAGCCAATTAATGCACAACTATATTCTACCCACCTCAAGACTCCGCTCCAATATAGAAGCATCAAGAAATATGGACCAATAGGCTTTCTACAATCACTTCTATTCAATACCCATTGTTTCGTGTTCTGTCTTGTGTTGATGAAATTAATACCCTATTAATGCCACCTCTTGTTCTGTCTTGTGTTGATGAAATTAATACCCTATTAATGCCACCTCACCCCATCCACCTCTCTCAAATGTAGATATAAAAACAAAATCGGAGATGCGTAAGTTCTATTCAGTTGTGTATTTGTAAACTAAAGTCTTTGAAAATGTAATAAGTTTTACGAAACGCGCTCGTGTCGCGTCAGACTAGAAATAAAAATGAATTTTGGAGAATTGATTTTTTATTTACCTCCAACAGTGAAAAAAAATGTACGAAAGATTGAGAAAATTCGTGTTAGAATTATTAATCTTACTTTTTCGGTCATATTTATTAATATATGTCTACAGGAAAGACTGCTACCAAAATATACTAATATATATATATATATATATATATATATATATATATACATATATATATACACACACACACACACACACTAGCTGTACCGGGCCACGCGTTGCTGTGGCTCAACAATGCATGCGCGCGTTGCTGAGCCACAGCAAACTTTGTCTGTCCTCCATTACCCCCTCAACCATCTCTTCGTCCTCGCAACCACTCCCCACTCCCCGATCACCTCGTCCTCCCCCACCATTCCCCACTCCCCTCCCCTGTCCCCTCGTCCTCCGTACCATCCCCCTCTCCCCGGTCCCTTTGTTCTTCCTACCTTTCTCGAATCCCCTGTCACCTCATCCTCCCCACCATCCCCCACCCCCTGCGTCCCCTCATCCTTCCCACCATCCCCAACTTCCCCGTCCCCCTTGTTCTTACCATTTCCCCCTACTTTGTCCCCTCGTCCTCCCTCCCTACCATCCCCCTCTCCCCGGTCCCTTTGTTCTTACCATTTCCCCTACCCTGTTCCCTCGTCCTCCCTCCCTACCATTACCCCTTCTCCCTGTCCCCTCGTTCACCCCAAAAAATTCAAGTAAAAAAATTAACTAAATTCATAAAATAAATGGTACAGTAAACAAAACTGCTCAATTTAAATGCAATGTCACACAAAATAATAATTAAATCCAAATGAAAATAAATCGAGATCTATGAAAATTCAATTTATCAATGCAATCATAAACATTGAAATGGAATCGTAACATATTTCTTACAGTGTGTGTTGCTTTTACATGCAACAAATGGCACTGTTTTAAAAAAAAAAATGTTTTTACTTGTCACAGTTTTGGCATATACTTATACTCTCTAAATGAACGGTATGGTAAACAATACAGCTCAATTCCAAGGTAATGTCACACAAAATAATTAAATCAAAATTAAATTAAATTGAAATCTACGAAAATTAAATATATCAATGCAATCGGAAACATTGAAATGGAATCGTAACGTATTTAGTATAGCGTGTGTTGCTATTACGTGCAACAGATGGCGCTGTTCTAAAACAAAGGCATGTTTTTACCTGTCAAAGGTGTGGCATCTAAATAGTAGACATATAAAAACACGAGTCTATTCAAATGCAACATTGTGTCAAAATTTCAAAGCAAATGGTGAAGAACTTTAGGAGATTAGTGTGTGTTTCTCTTACGTTCAACAGATGGCACAGTTTAAAAAAAAAAAATCCTGTCACAGTGAGGCATGTATATAGTAAAGAGGCATGTGTATATATAAAGAGGTTTTGAAGATTTCCCTCACATGAACAACAGTTTTTCAGCAAAAGCACGTTTTTGTTTTTTACCGTCACCGACGTGACATCTACATACTATGTATATAAAAACCTAGACCTAGAGGCCTAGACTTGCTCCTGAATTATTCTTATGTCGTCCAAGAGTGAGGTTGAGGAGCCGGCTAGAGTACCATCGTCCAAAAACCAAATGTTGAGCTCACTGGACAGGTTATCGGTGACTTCCTTGATGACTAGGCAGAAAAGAAAAGGAGCATGGGGGTCACACTGTTGGACACCTTCTTGTGACTCAATTTCATGTTCCCCGAAAAGCAAAGAGAGATTCTTGTTGTAACATGAGTTTACAAACGGGTAGAGGGAAGGAAAAAGGCGATGAACCGCACTGAGTACTTCATCCCTGCTAACCAGATTGAAAGCATTTTTTAAGTCCAGTTTTATCAGGGCTTTTTCATCCGTAATGTTGGCAATGTAGGCTCTAGCTGCATGAGCCGCTGCCTCACACCCTTGAGGAATGCCAAACCCAACCTGTTTTGGCTTCAGCATGTCTGCTGCTGCCTGACTAACTGTTCTGGCAGCAGCCTTAGCAACGAGGCGCTGGAGTGAATTGGCCACAGATATCGGTCTGATTCCTCCATCTTTTTTCCTTAGGGGACAGAGTGAAACACCAAAAAAGAATGGCCATATGGTCTCTGGTATGTTGCCAGCTAGACACATGTTGGGGAATCTAGTTAGTTCCACCAGGAGGCCTTGTGCAATGTCTCAACCCGTTCTCGCAAATTTAATAAGTCAATATTGACTTATTAAATATGTGCATAGGTGACATACTTAACATAATAGATACCCTTAAAAAGATTCATAGAAAACACCGACCTTACCTAACCTACTTAGTATGTTAAGATAAGCATCTTATTGCTTCGTAATTACAATTATTACCTAACCTCTAATAGGTATAGGTTAAGTAATAATTGTAATTACGAAGCAATAAGATGCTTATCTTAAGATACTAACAAGGTTAGGTAAGGTCGGTGTTTTCTATGAATCTTTTTAAGGGTATCTATTATGTTTAGTATATCACCTATGCACGTAGTTAATAAGTCAATATTGACTTTACAAATTTGCGAGAACGGGTTGAATGTCTCCCAGTGCAGGGTTGAGCATTTGTTTGATGTGGTTGGGTCTTAGACCTGTGAACCTGTCTGCTGATCCTGGTGGGAAGGATAAAGCTGCTTTATGCACCATGGATTCGAGCATACACATGGGTTCTGCTCTGGTGACACTGACTAGAGGAACACTGTCATCACGTGGAGCTCTGGGTGGGTGTTTTCCTCTTAGGGCTTGTGCTGTATCGGCGTCTTTGGTGGCAACTGGGTCCTCGCTGGTGATGACTCCGATCGCCCCCTTATTATGTTGCCTTCTTCTATTTTCCTGCTGACTGTTGCTCTGATTTTGGATGCCTCGGTTCTGCTGTTGATACCTTTTCTGCGGTGGGTGTTTTTGGCATGGGTAGGGAAGGGTGCCTTGTTGTCCTCTCTAGGAAAACTATTTATAGCTATAATGACTGAGGAAGCTAGTGATTTGTCTCTCCTTGCAGGGACAGCTAGGCATATGTTACCAAACAGGAGAAGATTATGCCATGTTTGGATGGCTTTGGGAAAGTCATTAACCTATTTCAAGAGGCTGGATAGTTTGGATGCCGCTTGGGAGCGAGCAGCTTTGGG